TGCCCATTCGCGGTTGGTGTATCTTCTTTGAGCCTCCGTGTGCTCATAGATCATGGGATGGACGTATTTATAATATACGAGGGTAAGTAAAAAAACTGGCCACAAAACACATTGAAACACGTCTCTGTGATCAGTGGGCGGCTACAGACAACCTCCCTCGATCACCCTTGTCTCAGTCCTGTTAGTGCCCCGCCCAGCAGCAACAAGCAAAGGCAGGGTCACAGCTGCCTTGCCCAGTGAAAGTCAAGGCAGAGGTCAGCTCAGAGGGTTATGGTGCCTGTTGTGGGAGATCCTAAGGGGCAGTCCTGTTCTTGAAGGAATAAGATCATCAAGGGGCCTTCTTAGGAAGTTTTCAGAAAATGGGAAATGCATTGGGGCGGGAAATAACTTGGAACGTTGTGCTAAGAGATTATTTTTGTTTTTCATCTGAACACACCACCTGCTCATTCTTCAAGGATAGCAAGGACTGTCCTATGAGTCTTTCCTGGGGAACTTCATCCCACCCACCTTACAGCCCTTCAGACTTCCTTTTATTCCCCAAACTCAAGAAATACTTAAAGGAACACAATTTGAGTGCTGCTGTGACCTGGTGTAAATGAAGGAGCACAGAATTCTTCGAGGAAGGGTCAAACCACCTTCACAAGGATTAGAGACTTCCCAAAAGACCCAGCTTCCTACCCCCGAGTCGACTCTGACTCACAACCACCCTACACTTCAGAGTCAAACTGCCCCTGTGGATTTCCTGGGCTGCCGATCTTTATTGGAGAAGAAAGCTTCATCTTTCTCCCAAGGAGCGGCTGGTGGTTTTGAACTTTCTACTGTGTGCTTCTCAGTCCAACTTTGATGGAGGATATGTAATAACCTCACATTTTGGTACTTTTGTTTAACAGGGATTTCTATGATTTATAGCCATACTTTTGAACTTACCCTAAATCCATCCATCCATCTACACACTTTTTTTTTAGCTAAATCAAGATCACATTATATCTGTTACTCGGCAGCATGGGCATCTTTTCATGGTTCTCTATACAGACTCTGCATTTGATTTTGCAGGTTCCATCAGCATTCCATCATAGGGATACACCTTCAGGTCTCCTGTTGGCAGAAAGAGCCCTGATGGCAAGATGGGTTAGGTGTTGGGCTGCTCACTGGGTGGTCAGCACGTCAAGCCCATCAGCTGCTCCAAGGGAGAAAGATGAGGCTGTTTGTTCCAATAGAGATTTACAGTCTTAGAAACCTTCTAGAGCAGTGGTTCTCAACCTTCCTTGTGCTACTGCTCTTTCATACAGTTCCTCATGTTGTGGTGACCTCCAAACCATAAAATTATTTTTGTTGTTACTACATAACTGTAATTTTGCTACTGTTAGGAATCGGGCAACCTCTGTGAAAGGGTCGTTCGACCCCCAAAGGGATCTCGACTCAGATTGAGAACCGCTGCTCTGTAGGGTCCCTATGCAACAGAATCTACTTGGTGGCAGTGGGTTTTTCTGTTGACAGGTATTTGTTAAGATTGTCTCCTGTCTTTTGATGGGCCCCACATTTAAATATGAAAGCGACACTCGATTATCTCTGCAATGCACATTTGCAGTGAAAGATTTTCATTTGTTCATTCTTTGAATTGTTACAGGGGCCGTATGATGTGGTGGTGCTGCCAGGCGGGAATCTGGGTGCACAGAATTTATCCGAGGTAAACGCGCTGAAAGGCAGGCTCGGCAGCTGCTGTGTTCTGTTGGCATTGGGGGGTTCTCGCATGTTTGGGGAGGGGGCTCTGAATAAAATAAGTGAAAGGCACCAAGTGGTGTCCTAGCCTGTATTTTGTTTTTTCACTGTCTGATGACATTTCTTATGGAAGTAAGCCGAGTCGATGGGAGTGATAAACAAGAACTGGGGACGACGATTTCCCCTCGGCAGCGCAGAAGGGTCTGATTGTACACTGTGTGCTGGGTTGCGCATAGAAAGATGAGAGATCGGCTCTCTGCTCACAGAGCAAGAGCCGGGAGAGGAGAGTGCTGGAGTTGCCTGTTTGAATCAGAAGCGGCACCAGAAGAGGCCGGTCCTGCTTCGTCTTAGTCTTAAGTGCGGAGGCCCCAGCAGATGGGTTCCCTGCTAGTGCAAACAAACGGTTAATAGTCTCGGTGGCCAACCAAAAGGTTAAAGGCTGAACGTTCCCCAGATGTCGCAGAAGAAAGGCCTGGAGATCAAAGGCCCGTAAAGCAGCCATTGACAGCCCTATGGGGCAGTTCTCTGACACCCGTGCAGTTGAAGTCAACTTGGGGGCCACTGGTGCTGGTACCACTTGTGGGCGTTGGGGGGTTGTTTAGGAGAGGTACCAGAAGACCCTCTGAAGCAGGAGTCAGATACTGAGGATGCTGCTTTACCCCACCATCTGAAAACGCCCCCCACCCCAATTCCTTCTCCCATCACAAAGGTCAAACGGGCCCAAGGGAAATTGATTTTTTTTTTTCAATTCAAAAATTTTAAATGTGAAAAATGCCCTGTGGGGTTAAAAGGATGTAGAAACATGATGAATTGGATCAAGTTTTACATTACTGACTTTGGAATCTGACTAAGAGCAGCAACAAAAGCAGACCGGCAGTCTGGTGGTTGGAGTTCAGCTTTGCCTTTGCCTCCCCCTGCAGTCGGCCGCCGTGAAGGAGATCCTGAAGGAGCAGGAGAAGCGGAAAGGTCTCATTGCCGCCATCTGCGCAGGTAAGGAAGGGCGGGGCCTGCCTTGGGCGAGCGGGGCATAGCTTTTCCTCCTGGGGTGACTGGGTGGCTTGTGCTCTGAAGTGGTCTCCTCTTGACACAGCGGAAGCTGTGTCTCTCTCAGCGTGTCCAGTGCCAGCGGCGGCCTGAAGTAGGTGCTGTTTGAGAAACTAGCATAATTGCCCCATTTTTCTGCCTGTCAGCGCCTTCAGGCTGCCTTCTGTGAAACTTAGCATTTTCTGTGTTTGGTTGACCTCAGAGGGACAGAAGCCCGTGGAATTCAGTAAACAGCGTGTCCCAGCACATCTCTGTGCCAGCCCGCAGTCAGCAAGAGCCCGCCTGGCCCGCCAGAAGCGGGCAGCCCTGCCCGGGGCCTGACCCAGGCACAGAGGCGCCCCTGGTGCTTACCCTCACCTTCCTACCAGGAAGGCACCGCCACTCTGGTACCTGCCAACCCCCTACACCAGACTCACATCGCGTGGTGCTTCATCGATGCCCCCACAGCTTTAAAACAGAATCTTCTGTTTCCTGATGTTGTTCTGTTGTTGTGGCGTGTCTATCAGATAATCTTGTTGACGGTAGTATAGTTGGTGCTAGTTGTTTGTTCCTTGCCTCATTATGTGTTTGGCAAAACACAAAGTGAATGAATGGAGAGTTTGAGAAAACAACATAGGTGTGCTGTCCATTTGAAAAGACTACTCTGAGGAAGAAGAGGAGAGGCTGGGGTCCCAGGGCTTCTGACCCGAGTTCTTTCAGAGGATCGGTAGGGTCAGAAAGGGTAATGGGCAGACACCCTGTGCCTCTTCGCCCCTTCCTCTGTGCGAGGTGTGGTGATGCCAATGTCGGGGCTTGGCGCGTGCCCTCTTGTGTCTTCAGTTTTGTGTCCGTTTAAATTTCTGACGTTGATGAGTGTGGCCCACGTGGTAGTCACCACAGCCCTGGATGGGGACAGAGTCACAGGTCTTAGGAGTTCACCTGCTGCCCTCCCACCTCAGCTCACGACCTCGTTCTTAGGTTCTTTGGCCAAAGGAAGAAAGTTAGGTGCCTTCGTTTCTTATTGTTGCCAGAGCCAGGCTCGAGACACGGCCTGCGCTGATAGAGCCTCCCTGATGGGTGGACCCTTTACGCAGACGGGCTCTCTCTGCAGCTGTGTTGTTCGGGGCCTTTGAGCCTGCACCCACTCCCAGTGGCCTTCTGTGCAAGAGAACAAAGCGTCGCCGGTCCTGCAGCCTCCTCCCCTTGCCCTTATGCTTGAGCACTGGTGCGGTCACGGGTTTAACTCACTGGGGGCTGACGGGGAGCAGGGGCCAGTTCAGTCCGTAACGTAAGACCGTGAGGGTTTGTTCTCTCAGCAAAGTGACAGCGCCAGGTCAGTCCTCTGTGTCACTCAGGCAGCAGAATTAGCACTCCCGTCCGATTCCCTGTCCTGCTCTGGGGCGAGCCTGAGTGTCCGTCAAGGAGCTTAGTCCAGGCGGCATTTGATTTCTGCCTTTGGAAATACGACAACGTTCTGACGAGGTTTGTGCTGTTAAATCTACAACTGCACTGTTCTGTGGGCTGCACCAAAGTAGAAAACTGTCTCCCAGTAAATTGAGTAAGTTGTAGTAACTTGGGTGTGACAGAGAGATACAAGAAAGGAGCAGAGGGGTGCTGGGAGAGGCTCAGAAGTTTTAAACTGGCAAATGAAAAGTAGGATGAGTCTTTTTTTAAATTAAAGCTGATTTTGATGACTTCTTATATCTAATGATTTACATTTTTCTGTCTGTTTTTGTCTAATGACTTTTTACTGGACTTAAAAAATTTTTTTTCATGTACTCTATTTTACAGTTTTATTAGCATGTGAGTCATATACTATCTAATTCGATTGTCTAGACACATTGAAACGAGTTGTGCAGTCATCATCACACTCAGTTTTAGAACGTTTTCTTCATTCTTGTACTCTGATTAGCTTTCCATCCCCTCCCCCACCCCCTGCCATAACTCTAAGAACTATTAATCCAGTTACTGCCTCTAGAGAGTTACCTATTTTGGGTTTCATATAAAGAAAAACATAACAACCTCTTCCCTGACAACAATAACAAAATTAAACACTGGGAAACCTCAATCCAAAAGAAAGCAGAAAATAAAAACTAGAACGAATTTAAAATAAGTAAAAAGTTAGAACAAATGATAAGGTGTTACATTTTAATCTAATTATGTTAGTGTTAATCCACTCCCCAGTGTACTGTGTCTGATAACAAGGCTATTCACATCCCTGGTCAGTGGTCAGAGGGGATTCTCCAGAGGACTTAATTTACATGGGGACGTTGCAAATTGATTCGGGGCTTTCACTGTCATCCATAGACTTCTGCAAACTGGGTGCTTAGAATTTAAGCTCTAATGCAGTTCCCCCCTCCAGTCTTGGATTTTATTCTTGACAGTTCTTGGATCCCATAGTGCTTCTTCCATGTAGACTTAGCAGATGGCTACTTGTTTTAAGACAAGCTCTTAAGACCTCAGACATTATTCTTTCCTATAGCCACGCATCAGAGAAGTCAGATTATTTTATCGTATTGTCGAGTTGATTCCAATGTACAGCAGCCTATAGGACAATGTAGAAGTGTCCCTGTGAGTTTACAAGGCTATACATCTTCATGAGCACAGACAGCCTCGCCTTTTTTCCTGTGGAGCAGTTGGTGGGTTTGAGTCAGCACCTTTGTAGTTAGCCCACCCAGGGCACCTTAGGGGTGTAATTAGGAGTTGAGAACTGCTCTATTGAACTAAAAAGAAGAGGCATAGCCCCTAATATTGAGTGTGCGAGAAAGAGACATTAAAAGGGAGACTCTTACTTGGGAGTCAAACAAAATAAGAGCCCCTTAGGTCTGGAGAACGAGCTCTGTGGCCTAGGGATTTACACACTGGGCCTCTAACCACAAGGTTAGCAGTTTGAAACCTCCAGCTGCTCCTCGGGAGAAAGCAAGCTTTCTACTCTGGGTGAAGTTTTACAGTCTGGAAAACCCAGAGGCAGTTCTACGCTGTCCTCCAAGGGCGTTATGAGTCGGCGCCCACTAGGTGGCAGTGTTCATGTGTTTGGTTTGTGTTGGTCCTACAGGGAGGAAAGTGGAGGAGCATTTATTTGCCTGCTGCTCTGGGTTACGAGGTAACCATTCACCAAGGTGCACTGCTTCCCTGTGCGAAGTTACCACACGGTGGCACTGTGGTCCTCTTGACAGAGCAGAGGGCTTTGGTCCACTTTCTCCTGGGAGACCAGGAGAAAACCCCTTTACTTCTGCAGAGCTGCCTGTGGAGGGCAGACTCCACTCGACAACATACCTATCAATCCGAGTTTCAAAAGGTTTCCAGTGTTTTGTGCCCTTGAGTCAATTTTCCATTCACTGTGAGGCCACGCATCAGAGTAGAACTGCTTCCCGGGGTTTCCTAGACGGCCGTCTAGCAACTGAGCATGCACTTAGTCCCGGCATCACTGGGAGCATTTAGTTATCTCTGAATTATCCAGACGCCTGAGCCTCAGAAAGCAATAATTATGGGTGCACTATGCAGACAAATGCCTAAATCCAACAATAGGATACATTTCTTAGTATTCCTGCCGGCAGCAGTGTCGGCCCCTAGTGCCTGCTGTCCTAGAGTCCATACCTTGTGATCCTGTAGGCCAGCGGAGAACTGTCCCTTGGGGCTGACCGCACCTTACCTGGTAGATTCAAATTGCCAGCCCTTGAGTTAGGATCTGAGCACCTAACCACTGCACTGCCCAGCCATAATTACCTGGAGGTAGGAGCTTCGAAGCTTATTTTATTGGCTCTCCTCATCTGTAGGTATTTGTTTCTTGGTTCTTACACTCTTAATTAAGTAAGAATTAAAGGAAGGTATAATTTATGTATCTCTTTGAATAGAAATTGATGGATTATATTTATATGATTTTAAAGCCTTTATATAGGAAAATTTGAACAGTTTGATGGACATAGAATTCATATATCATGCAAGTCAACAGTTTAGGCATATTAAAGCATTGTTCAGTCATTACCACAATCAATTTTAGAACATATTCTTCTTTCTTGTACTCACTATTAGCTCCCCAATTTCCCCAACCTCCCTTGCTCTTTGTAATGAAAATTGCTACCATTCATAACTGTCTTGTCTATGGTGAGTTGTCTTGTATGCAGTATAAAGGTAGAGTGGGAAGGACCTAATTGTAAGTACTAAATTAGTAAAACTCTTAGGAAAACATGTAAAGGCCTTGCTTTGGGCTGTAGTTACCTTATAGTGGGTTCTTGGCCACACCACAAAAGCATCACTTACAGAAGACAAGACCGGTAAATTAGATTCCACCAAAATGCAGAATTTTGCATCGAAGGACTTGCGTCAGCAAAGTGAAGAGACTACCAGTTGGGGAGGAAACTTTAGGAGCCTTGTATTGGGCAAGCATTTACTATGCTGTTGTATAAAGAACCCCTACAATGTAACAACAGAAAGAGAACAACCCAGTTCAAAATGGGCAAAGGACTTGAGTCGATCGTCCACTAAAGCAGCTAATGCAAGTAGCCAACGAGCTCCTAAAAAGGCCTTCCCTGCCACTGGTTTGTTGTTAAGTACCCTGGAATCAGGTCTGCGGAGAGGAAACCCTGCTCACTCCCGTGCGCCATCACTTGCTGAGTGTTGCGCTGTGGCTGCGTCGGCTGCTGCAGCCACGGTGGGGTCCCTCTCATTGAGGCCCTTCATCGTCCCTCGCCCGCCTGTCCCCAGCGCGATGCCCTTCTCCAGGGACTGGTCCAAAGTACACGAAACGACAGCTCACTGCACGTGCTTCTGAGGCGCGTTCTGGGTGTGCGTCTTCCCACCCAGAACTGTTTTCCTGCTAGCAGTGCAGCGTATGTGCCGTCTTCTTGGACCGCGCTCTCATTCTAGCACACCAGGTCTTCCCTGGCCCTTCAGCGTTTACATGCATTGGGGATTGAGAATGCCCTGGCTTGGATCAGGTGCACGTCAGCCCTCCCTGGCCTCTTAAC